CCATCCGCCAGTCTACCCCCTACTACTAATCTACAAAACCCTATTACAAATCTTAAAGGCTAAATAGTTTACTAAAGTTAACATAATCTAAGCGTTCTATAAAATTTGTATTACTAAAGGTGATAAGTAGAAAACAGCCTTCTAGACAAGGTTTAGACTATATAAGTAGCTTGTAACCCCCTTTAGACTTACTAACACCCCTAGTACCTTTTAATAGTATATTAATTAGGTACTATAGGAAGATCTAGATAAATAGTATTCTGTGTACATAGACAACGTGCTTATCTACTTAAGTAGGTTGTAAGCAGAACACAAAGCTAAAGTTAAGGACATTATTTAGAAGTTAGGCAATACAGGCCTCTACTTAGATATTAAGAAGTGTAAGTTCTCTATTAAGAAGACTAAGTACCTTAGCTTTATTATTAAAGCAGGTAAGGGGATCTAGATAGATCTAGGAAAAGTTGCTGCTATTAAGGCCTAGGAACCCCTAAAATTAGTAAAAGGGATATAGAGCTTCCTAGGGTTTGCTAACTTCTATTAATAGTTTATTAGCAACTTCTCCTTAATAGTAGAACTACTAACTTAGTTAATAGGGAAGAATTTAGTGTTTAAGTAGGGGAAGCCTTAATAATTAGCCTTTAAGGCTATAAAGATAGTATTTATTGCAGAACCTACGCTGTTAAACTTTAATAAGGACCTGAAGACAATCCTAGAGTGCAACGCCTCTAGATAGGCCACTAGGGGAGTACTGTTGTAGTACAGGACTGATGGCGTCCTGTGGACTGTTGCATACTTCTCTGCAAAAAACACAAAGGCTAAGGTAAACTACACTATCTACAACAAGGAGATGCTAGCAGTTATTAAGTACCTCTAGGAATAGAGCACTAAGCTAAGATCTGTAAAACACTTTACAGTTGTTACTAACTACAAGAATCTAGAGTACTTCTACAAAACAAGGTTACTATTAGAAAGGCATGTTAGGTAGTTAAGCTTGTTAAGCTAGTTTAATCTAACATTTGTGTAACATGGTTGGCAAGCGAGTCGGTCAGACAAGCGAGTCGGTCACCCCACCAACTTTTGCAACTTCAAAGCGATATATCTCAACAACGCGATAATATTATTGCTAGATATTAATATAGTAGACTACTCTATATCAATAGTATCAGCGTTGCATGTGCGCGAGTTGTGCCCAGTCTCTTTACACCTAGTGCAGCGCCTTTGAGCGCGCTGGCTGAGGCCTGATCGCGCTCCTCCTTGACGCTCTTCATGAGCAATCTGCTGGTCAGCCTCATTTTGAGCCAGTATAT